GTAGAGCAACATTTAAAAAAGTACTGAAAGAAAAAAAAAATCAAAATCAGAAAATGGACAATATATGTGAACTAAATAGACACTGACCACCAGGCAGTGAGGCACAGTGATCTCTGAGAGAGGGGAAATAAACCAGATGGGCCCAACAGTTGCCCGTTTCCTGCCCTGAGAAGAGTTTCCTTGCCAGGCATCAGGAGGGAACCAGGGCAAAGCCCAGTGAATTCCCTGATTTGAAGACACGGAGCTGAGAGTCCAGGAAGACCAAAGCATCTGGAAATCACAGGCTGGAACACCAGACAGAAGAGCACTGGCTGCAAAGAACACAGGGACTTCAGTGGATCCCCTTGAGCATGCAGCTCAGCACTGGCTATGGCATGGGTGTGGGAAACTACTGGAGGATGAGCAAGACTCGCCTGAAAGGATTAGAGGGAACAGCGTCTGCTGGGCACCCAGTCCTGGGAACTGGGCCCTTTCCCACCAGCCAGTCTGGAATACCGTAAGGCTCACAGCCTGAGAAAAAAGCAATGTTATGTATAAAAGAACAAAGAGAAGGATGACAGCAGAATTCTCCCTGGGAAAAAAAGGTGCAAGCAGCATGACAGTGGAGCAACATTTAAAAAACTGAAAGAAAAAAAAAATCAAACAAAACTTCTATACTCGGTAAAATGATGTTTCCAAAATGAAAGGTGTAATAAGGACGTGTTCAGACTTGTGAAAGTGGAAAGGATTCATCACCAACAGACTTTTTTACTGTAAAAAAAATTAAAGGAAGTTCTTCACACAGAAGGAAAGTGATGCCAGATGGAAATATGGACGTGCACAAAGGAATGAAAAGCACCAAAAATAGTAACTATATGTCAATATGTAAGACTTTTTTCTTAGTATTTTCATCTTTTAAAAGATACTTGACTGTTTAAACAAAAATAATAACAATGGAATTTGAGGTTTATAACACATGTAACAGTAAAATAGATGACAACAGAAAGGCCAGAAGGGGAGAAAAGGATATTGTAAGGTTCTTATACTTTACACAAAGCAATGTACTATCATCTGAAAGAAGACTGATAAGTTGAAGATTTACACCATAAACCCTAAAGCTACCACTAAAACAATAAAATGAAGAGTAAGCCAATGAAGGAGTTAAAATGAAATTATAACAATACTAAATTAACCCCAAAGAAGGCAGGATAAGAGGAAATATGGGAGAATGAAGAGATTGCTCAGTAGAAAACAAATAGCCAGATGGTAGATGCAAACCTAACCGTATTAATAAACACTTTAAAAGCAAATACCCCAATTAAAAGGCAGAGATGTCAGACCGGATAAAAAAGCAAGATCAAACTTCATGCTTACAAGAAACACTTCAAATATAAAGACACAAATAGGTTAAAAGAGAAAGGGTGGGAAAAGATATACCATGTTACCATGCATCAAAAGACAGCTGGAATGACTGTTAATATCAAAGTAGATTTCCAAGTAATGAATATCACTAGGGATAAATAAGGTTATTGCATAATGCCAACAGGCCCGATTCATCAAGAGAATATGATAATCCTGAGGATTACTGGAGGGCTACTTTGGTTATCCCCACTTTGCAGATGAAGAAATTGAGGCTCAGAGCAGTTGGATTTTCTTGAGTTCCCACAGGTTGTCAAGGGATTTAAAGCCTGATTTGCCTGACCCCAGAGCCCATGTTGATATGATAAAGCTATGCTCAACTGAAGAGGGTGGGAAACTGCCTGGGGTGCCTGGGAGGCTCCCCAAGGAGATGAGGCTCAGCTTCGCTGTGTGTGGTGGACAGATACCACTGGGTGCATGAGACCCCATTGCCCCGGCGTTTACAGGCTTCACAGGCCTCTGACTCTTAGGAGGTCCATACTTCCCAGGATGGGGTACTGACTGCAGGGGCTTTATGTCTGGCTCTCCAAACCTGCCCTCCCAACCGAGTCTCTGTGCTGATGAAAAGCAGCCATTTCCCATGTCAGACACAGCGTACGCAGGGGCTCGGGACCCAGGGGCTGTGGGGATCTCTGCTTTCTTTTTGTTTTTGTTAACAGTCAGGAAGCATTTCCTGTATATGTAGGCCCATTTATAAGTGCTTTAGCTATAGAAACTTTGCTGATTCTTAAATTAAATGAGTACTGTTATTAGATTTACTTTACACAGGAGGAAACTGAGGGCAGGGAGAGAGGGAAGAACTTGCTCAAGGTTCAGTAGCTAGAAAGTCCAGACAGGCTTTGAACCCAGAGTCTGTCTCCAGAGCCCACACACCCAACTGCTGTGCCCTGTGCAAACTGAGCGTGCTGGTTTCTGTCCTCAAGCTCCAGAAAGTAGCTGCGTTCATTTCAATGGGCCAAGCACAGTTGCAGTCTGACATGTCACTTTGCTGCTGTGTGACGCTGGGTGGGGCACTTCCCATTCCAAGCCTGTTTCTAGGTGCCCGTAGATGCATCTTGCTGTGCTGCCAGAATTAATGTTAGTTGAACTGGGTCTTCCCATAAGATGGAGGCTGGCTGGCAGGACCAGACCATCCTCTCCCTGTCAGACCCTCTGATATGATTCCCTGCTTTTCCTCTGATACGGAGCTGAGGAAAGTGAGGCGGGATGTGGTTAAATTACTCACCCAAACAAACCTCTTGGTGAGTCAGGGAGGAGCTGGAACAGGAGCTGGGAGAGCCCAGCTTGCTGTTGGCACGCAGCCGGGCGCCATTGCCTATAGCCAGGGCTCCGTGCTCACACATATTCTGCATTTTGGCTTCTAATCTCAGTATGTGAGTGGAGAATCCAACTGGCCCCGTTTGGACATGATGAAAACCCTTCACCTGCCCATGTGGGGACACTTGAGAGCAGAGCTCCGCGGACTCGGGTTGGTCATGTGACCCAGGCCTTGGCTGCTTCTCTTTACTTCCCACCTTCTTTCTTTCAGGATTGATGGGGTCAGCTGAATTCTTAAAACTCTCACAATTCAACAGTACTTGCACATTGCCCCCTTTCTCTGTATCAGGCAAATCCAGATCGGATTTCCTGTTATCCTCTAAGAGAGGAGTAGGGAAGCAGAACCCTGGATTACATTTCTGCCTTTTATGGACAGCGCCCTTCTGGCAGGGCGCACTTTCCATGGAAGTCGTGGGGTCTCCTGGGCAGGGCTTTCTGACCTTGGACGTTACCCTGGGAGCCTCAGTTTCCTTCTCTCTTAAAGCGTAACACATGGTAGGCACTGAATAAGTACTCGACTGCCCTTCTCTTCCCTTTTCCTGGATCTGATTACAATGAAGGAGCCCAGCTCTCTCCCCTCCCTCACCACGACCCATTAGACATGTGTGGGAGCTGCCTGCTTGGGGTTCCTCAGGGTGTGCCCTTGCATGTTAGAAGCAAGTCAAATTATCAGCAACTCTGACGCCAAAGCATCAGGGTTTGCAAAGACAGACTTGGAGCCCGGACAGCCTGCATAGTTCCCGCTGTCCGCTCTACCAGGGTAGACCTGTAAATAGATTCCCAGCTGCTGACCTTGGCCCTGCACAACCAAATTCTCCCAGGGACCCGTTACAGTATCCCTTGGCCCTTGAGTGTTACCTGTAACTTGATGCCCATGGCCAGGGGCTGAGCCTCCATGTTGGCATGTTGGCCCCCTTGTTATCAGCACTGGAAGATACCACTCCTGGATGTGCTGGACCCTAGGATTCACCCTCCACAGCTGAATTTTAGGCTCCCTTCCATTATAGCCCCTCCGTGGGACCTTCTCATTCCAGCCCTTGGCTGCATCACTTATCCTTAGTGTGTACCAGAATCCCATGTGGAAGAGCAGAACTGGCTGAAGCAAAATGAAGAAATATCTGCACATTTGGAGCAGGATAAAGTCTCAGAAGAGATCTATGACCTAGCCTGATGATAAGGTTATCAGCAGCCACTATTGACCAGTCCTTTCATGTTAAATATAGAGCTGCTGTTTGCTGTTTGGAGATGCAATCCAGCTGGTCAGTGACTGAGTTATTGTATTTTAAAGATTGCTTAAGAGACACTAAATCACAAGTGTTTGTAAATTAAGAAAAAAAAATTGTGTATCGCCGAGCCCCCCAGTTGTTTAGCAGCCTTAGTCCCAAGACTCATTCCTCAGGAGGATTCGACATCACTTCATTTATCTGGCATTGACCATTTCTTGGAACAGAGCCTAGGCCTGAAATAAGCAAACAGAACTCTGGGAATCCCGAAGAGATGACATGAAGTCCATTTGCTGAGCTCAAGCCTTTGCTCTGCTCCTGAAGGAGCCTGGCCAGCCTCCTCAGGGAGTCTGCTCATGCTTGTTGACTGTCACACATGTTTCCTGGTTTCCTGGGGGCGCTTCAGGATAATAAGGACAGAGGGTCTCTGAATGCATGCAGCTAAGAGTGCTGGTGACTAAAGAAGAGCTGGAAAGCCATAAGAACTAGAAAAACCAAACTCAAAAATCCAAGAGCACACTGGGCTCCTGCCAGTCCCAAAGAGGAGTCAGAGCTCCTCTAGAACACAAAGTCCTCCAGGCAGAGTGGGCTCTGTGCGGGCAGGCGGGTCGGTACCAGGAGGACAGTCATCAGAGAGTCACCTCTTCATCCTGCATGCTGCAGATTTACTATTCCCTGGAATAAAATAGATGGTATTTGATTTAACTGCTCAGCTTTTCACAGCAATCCTCTGGTCGTGTATCTCTCAAAACAGATTAATAGGTCAGCTTGACTTGAACCTAATATGGCAGAGACCATTAGCTCCCCATCCAATTTCTTAAGAAACAGAGCCAGGAAAAATCCTGGCTGATGCCTGGGCCATATGTAGCTAGTGATGCTGGTGGGGGATTTTAAGTCTGGGGGTCATGGGTCTAGTTGGCTAGGATTGCATGTGTGGGTGGTGTAGGGGTGAGTTGAGCTTCACTGTAATGCCAAGTAACTGGGTAACCAAGTGGAAGGGATTCAGGTACAGCCCATATGCAGAAAGGGTCCAAGGCTGGATCTGGCAAACCTTCTGAGAAGGGACTGGTTGAGGGCCAGGTGTTGTCCCCAGTAGAAAGGCCTTCTCAGTGGTTACTATGACAGCTTTACCAGTCAGAGCCTTTGCTCTAGCCCAACCTAATTTTCCTAGGGCACCAGTGGGTCTATGATCAACTTCCCCCCATTTCCAGTTCATTGATCAGAGATCCCTTTCTCTAGACAGAGTGAGGACCTTCAAGAATCTCCACATTTGGGGGCTCTGGATTAAATTCCAGGCTTCTCATTTCTGCTGTCACTTTCCAGTCATTATCAGGAATATATAACATGTTCAGTAATAGGGATTTAGAAAGACAGCACAATAAAAATCAGTTTATGATGATAAATGATTTCTCAATTTTTCAAGAACCTTGCTCCAAGATTAGAGGAATCAACTCTTATTTTCAGGAAAAGGTTTCCAGTTTTGAGTCCCTGACATTCTCTCAGTCTCTGCTCGGTGAAGTATAGGAGTCTGTATAGATGTGGCCACCTTTAATCCTCCAACAGTCCTATGAATAGGAATTATTATTCTTATGGTTTTTACACAGATTGAAGAACTACGACTGGAGGTGAAATGCTATTTCTCCAGATCTACTGAAAGGTGGAGGCAGGGGTTCTGACTCAGGTCTCCTAAATCCTAGGCTCTTGTCCCTAATTTGGGACCTTGCTATTTTTTTCTGGGTGGGGGAGGTGATAACTGTGTTTCTGTCCCCTGGCTTCTGTATTAATCAGTATTCTGTGATTAGCCCTCATTTAATATAGTCCATGATTTTTAAATAAGCCTCTGTGTTTTGCCATTAACCTGTGGTCCCTGGAAAAAATCATCTCCCAGTGAGAAAATCCACATGTCGTATTTGTGAGTATCTTATGTTAGTAGGTCTTATCTTGTCAGGAAAATTAGAGTGGGAGAGGGGGAGGCGGTAAAACTGACCCTCATCACAGATAAAGAAAACAGAGATTACTAAAATAACCCAAAGACAATCCATTTTATTGGTAACATTCCTTTGAAGATCTCAGCCCAAACTTCTTAAGGGTGAAAAGAAGGTGATAATAAATTTTATATAGAATGGATAGCATCCAAATATATGAAAGAATAATGGATAGTGCTGGCGTCAATCTTGGGCCAATTTGCCAGATTCTGAATCTACTGTATACTCATTTTACATTACCTTGAGATGGTTCATAACTCTCCAGAAGGATTCACCCCATCACAACAAGGAAATAAGGAGGGCATAAAAATGAACCTGAATTCTGAATTTGTGATCATCTTAGTTAAGATTCTTTTGGATGCAAGTAAGAGAGACCCATTACAAACTTTTTTAAGCAGGAAAGGAGAATACATCTCAAGGGAGAGAGAGAGAGAGAAAGATGTGTTCTGGACTCCAGGTCTTGGCAAGTACCAGGAACTGGGAAGGGGTCTGGTGTTGAGGCAGCTCTGTTCTTGTTCTCTCCTTCCCTCAGGGCTATAGCCTCAACCTTTGCACCCCTCGTGTCAGCCCATTCTCCTTGCTCCTCTGCATTTGTGACTGCCCTTTGGCCTTGGACTTTATACAGTCTCCATTCCAGCTGCACTCTGAGATGGTGTCTAATGGATTTAGGGTTAAATCCCTGGCTTAGTTTGACTGTGAGTCCTTCTCATCTCAGTCATTTTGGGTTAAGGAATGAAATCACATGTCATGCCTACTGATGCCCCACTTGTATGGGTGGTGACTCAGTTCTCAGAGAATAGAAGCTGAGTGGATATCTATTATAGTATACATGATAGCTTTTAAAATATTTTCTAGCTAATCTTTTTAGGCTGGTGTAAGAAAATAAGAGTTGAATTTTGTATGTTGATTTTATATCCAGCAACATTGTTATACTGTCATAATAATTCTAATAATCTGTTAGTGGCTCTTTTGCATTTCCTATGAAGACAGTCATATCACCTGTGAAAAATGATACTTGCTTCTTCCTTTACAATTATTTATTTTATTGTCACGTTACTGAAGTGTCAAGGACATCCAGTGCAATGGTTAAAACTAATGGTTGGAAAAGGGAACCTGAATTTTCTTTTTTAACTTTAAGGATCATGTGCTTACATTAAGGGTGTTATTTGGTGTGGGTATTTTGCAACTATTTTTTTCCAGTTTTATTGAGAAATAATTGACATATCACAGTATGAGTTTAAGATGTACAGCTTGATCGTTTGATTGCCATATATTGTGAAATGATTAACAAAATAGGTTCAGCTAACATCCATCTTCTCATAGAGATACAATAAGAAGAAAAGAATAAAGAAAAAATTTTCTCCTTGTGATGAGAACCCTTAGGATTTACTCCCTTAACAACTTTCCTATATCATGCAGCAGCGTTAGCAAACTCATCGGGTTGTACATTACATCTGTAATAGTTATTTACTTAAAACTGAAAGCTTTTGCTTTTTGACCATCTTCCTCCAATTCCTGCTAGCCCCACCTCTAGTAAGTCTAATCTCCTTTTCTGTGAGTTTGTTTTTTGTTCTTAGATTCACAAGTGAGATCATACAGTATTTGTCTTTCTCTGACTTCTTTCATTTCCTTACATTATTACAAATAAATGTAAATAATTGTAAAGGAAGAATGCTTTCAATAATGCTTTCAAGGTCCATCCACAATGCTGCAAATGGTAGGATTTCCTTCTTTTTTTTTTTTCTATGGCTGAGTAACATTCCATTGTGTGTGTGTATGGTAGTGTGATATATATATATATATATATATGTATATATATCACAACTTCTTTATGTATTCATCCATCCATGGACGCTTAGGTTGTTCCTGTATCTTGGTTATTGTAAATAATGTTGAATTGAATGCAGGGGTGCAAATATCTCTGAATTAGTGTTTTTGTTTTCTTTGGATGAATATCCAGAAGTGGAATTGCTGAATCATATGGTAGTCCTGTTTTTAACTTTTTGAAGAACCTCATTTTTTCTATATTAACTACCAAATTGCAATCCGACTAACAGTGCACAGGGGTTCCCTTATCTTTACATTTTTGCCAGCATTTGTTATCTCTTGTCTTTTTGGTGATAGCCATTCTAACAGGTGTGAGGGGATATTTCCTTATGGTTTTAATTTGCATTTTCCTAATGACTAATGATGTTGAGGATCTTTTCCTGTACCTGTTAGCCTTTCATGTATCTTCTTTGGAGAAATGTCTCTCCATTTTTTAATTGTGTTATTTGTTTTTTTCTTTTGAGTTGTGTAAGTTATTTATATTTTTTGTGTATGAACTCCTTATCAGATAGATGGTTTTCAAATATTTTCTCCCATTCTGTAGATTGTCCTTTTACTTTGTTGATGATTTCTTTTGGTGTGCAGAAGCTTTTTATTTTGATATTGTCCCACTTGTTTATTTCTTATTTTATTGCTTGTGCTTTAGGTGTCATATTAAAAAAATCATTACGAAGACCCATGTTGGAGAGTTTTGTTCCTATGCTTTTTTCTAGGCATTTCATGGTTTCAGATCTTACATTAAAGTCTTTAATCCATTTTGAGTTAATTTTTGTGAGTGGTGTATGATATGAGTCCAGTTTCATCCTTGTACATGTAAATATTCAGTTATGCCAGTGCCAGTTATTCAAGAGACTGTCTTTTCTCCATTGATTGTTCTTGGCTCCCTTGTCAAATATTAATTGACTGTATATGCTTGGGTTTATTTCTGGGCTCTTAAATCTGTTCCACTGGTCTGTTTGTCTATCTTAATGCCTGTACCATATTGTTTGATGACTATAACTTTATGATACAGCTTAAATCAGAAAGTGTGATACCTCCTGCTTTGTTCTTCTTTCTCAGGATTCTTTAGCTGTTTAGGGGCTTTTGTGGTTCCATATAAATTTCAGGAGTTTTCTCTACTTCTGTAAAAGATGCCATTGGAATCTTGATAGGCGTTGTGTTGAATCTATAGATGGCCTTTTGAGGTATTGACATTTTAACAAAAATAATTCTTCCAGACTCTAAATATAGGACACCATTTCATGTATTTGTCTCTCCTTCAATTTCTTTCATCAGTGTTTTGTAGTTTTCAACATATAGATCTTTCAAATCCTTAATTAAATTTATTCCAAAGTACTTTATTGTTTTTGATGCTATTACAAATGGGATTGATTTAAAACATTTCTTCCAGAAATTTTGTTGTTAGTGTATAGAAACACTAAAGATTTTGTATGTTAATTTTATATCCTACAATTTTTCTGAATTCATTGATTAGATCTAATTGTTTTTTTAGTTGAGCCTTTAGGATTTCTGTATATAAAATCATATCATCTGCAGAGACAATTTTACTTCTTCCTTTTCAATTCTGATACCTTTTATGTCTTTTGCTTGCCTGGTAAACTGGTTAGAACTTCCAGTATATGTTGGATAGGAGTGGAGAGCGGGCACCCTTGTCTTATTCCTGCCCTTAGAGGAAAAGTTTTCACCCTTTCACCACTGAGTGTTAGCTGTGGGCTTGTCATTTATAGCCTTCATTATGTTGAGATGTGTTCCTTCTATGCCTAATTTGAGTTTGTATAATGAATGGATGTTGAATTTTGTTGAATGCTTTTCCTGCATTTATTGAGATGATCATCTGATTCTTTTCTTTCATTCTATGAATGTGATATGTCATTTTTTGATTTGCATATGCTGAACCATCCATGTATCCCAGGGGTAAATCCCGCATTTTAAAAGGAATGCTCCTTTTAATGTGCTACCGGATTTGGTTTGCTAGTATTTTATTGAGAATTTTGCATCTATGTTTATTAGGGATATTGGCCTGTAGTTTTCTTTTCTTGTAGTAACTTTCCTTTTCTGGTTTGATATCACAATAATGCTGGCCTTATAAAATGAGTTTGCAAATGTTCTCTCTGATTTTTTTGGAAGAAGTTGAGAAGGGTTGGTGAATTCTTCTTTAAATGTTTGGTGAATATCACCAGTGCAGCTATCTGGTCCTGTAATTTTCATCATTGGGAGATTTTTGATTACTGATTTAAACCTCTTGCTAGTAATTGG